ATTTGGTGATTAATTTTTTAACGCTAGTTTTTTAATTACTGTCTCAATAAAGACTGTCCCAATTAAATCAATAAGAGACTAACTGTGTCTGACACTGACTGGCTAACTTATCAGAAACCGGTTTTTGAAGTATTAAGAGTAATGTTTGCGATGCGGTATCTTGTGATCAAGGTGAGCTTCCTAACCATCGGAATAATTAATTATAATTTCAAAATTTTTTGATACATTAGTTTTACATTTTCTTTATTTCGAGAATTTCAAAATTTCTTTCCCCCTTTTTTCTTTTTTACTGCATTCTTATCTGGATTTAATTCTGGTATTTATACTCTCGAGGTGAGGAAGATCACCATGACTAGTTAATAATTGTTATATTCTAGGTATGTGAATGTATTAGTTATCTCTGAAGAAGGCTCAAAAATGAGCCGAAACATGTAAGCGCTTTAGTAAAATAAAGAAGTTTCACGTTAGGATAGTCGTGTTATTTGCGCAACATCTCCCGCGTTTGACTCCTACTGCCCTTGTTTTTTCATTGTTTTTTGATAAATATTCAAAGTAGTAATAAATTTGACTTTATTTGTAAATTATTCCCTTGGGAAAATTTATTTAAAGAAAAGTTAAAGTTTTTAAAAGTAACCTTTCAAATGTAAAAGTTAACTTAAAAAATTTTTAAGTGATATAAAGTGATCGAAGCAATTTTAAAGTATTTGAAAACTTATTTAAAAAAATCTTGACAAAATCTAGACAAATCAAAGATTTTAAAAACCGACTTTAAAATTGTCTTTAGGTACTTTAAAGGATGAAAAAAATAAAAGTGCTTTTAAATTTTAAAGTAAGGTTAAGTTTACCCGCAAACACAGTGCGCGACACCGCCACTAGAGGGACGCAGCAATGCTACATTTTCTCGTAAGTAAGATTCATACAGGATAGAATAAAAGGCACAAGAGATTTTTCATTCGTGTTGTTATGAAATAATTTTTTGATGTGGCAAGCCTTCTTATAAGTAAGAAAAGCTTGCTTTGAAATTTAAACATAATTCATATTTTCACAATTATTATCTTAAAAAAAATTTTATAATTGTTAACTTATGTTTTATAATTTTTATGTTCCTTTAGCTTTAGTTACTTCCAGTTTTTTCTTTAAGTAAATTTTAAAGTTACTTTAAAGAAAAATTTAAAATGTCCTTAAATTTACTTATCAAATTTTTTAAGTTTTCTCTAAAATAAGAGTTTTAAGTTTTTTTTTTAAGTTTTGTTAAGTAAATTTTCCCAAGGGTTGTTTTCTATATTTATGTCTTAATTGTTGAGATCTCAACACATAGCATGAAGCTGATGGCGTTTGTCATTTTGACGTCAAAAGACGTCATTTTGATGTGAACTTGTTACCGAGACACCTAAATTAATTTGCTGCTTGGAAACGTCCTAACATGACGTCAAAATGACGTCAATAATTTTGTGACATTAGAACATCATTACGACATCATTAAGACGTCATTTAGTGACGTCAGCCATGGTCAGTAAATGATCAAAATTTGACGTCAAAATGACGTGTATTTGCTACCTGGGTTATTAACTATCCAACTGGCGACTTATGACGTCAATATAATATCATGGAATGACGTTACGAAAATGACGTCGTATGCCATCACGAAATGACATCATACCGACGTCATGAAATGACGTCGAATAAAACTTATGGTCATTTTTTTAGTCACTTGACGTCATTTGTATAAACATGGCTTGAATTTGATGTCAAAATGACAAACTTCGCTACCTGGGATAGCGTCAAGTATGTTAGCATCATGAATGACTTGCTATATTTATGGAAGGTTTTTCACATGATTTCCTTTCATTTCCATACATGCTTGGGGCATTTTCTTCTTACAGAGTCTTACAGAGTTCTTCTTGCAGAACGCAGTTTATAAGTACTGAGGTAAACGTTGCATGCGACACGTAGAACCAAGTAAGTCATTTAAGCCTATTCTACAATGTGCTTTTTTCTTTTTTTTTTGTTTTTGCTATTTTTTTACATCATGACTTTTTACTACTTATTCAGTTTTTTGTTTTATTTCGCCCGAGATAAAAGTTAATGAATTTCGAAAAGAACAGAAAACACGTAGCAAGAAATACAATTGTCAATAAAACGGTTGCAAAGGGGAAAAAGCAAGGAACAAGAAACGAAGAGCACATTGGAAAATAAGCTTTATGATGCTAACATACAAAAACTTACATCTCAGAAACGGTTGGGCTTTCGATGTATGTTTTCGCTAAGATTTTTTTATTCAATATGATGTGTACTATTTACCATATAAATGCAGAATAGTTTTTTCTAACACCCTGTATATTTTATATTGTATTATTTTTTATAATATACTATTATTTTTCACATAATGTTAATGTAAGCAATATAAACTTAGAAACATAGCTATAAACCATTTAATTATACAACAAAGTCATAATTATATAATATGTGAATATAATCGCATAAAATATATCATTCAATAAAAATAAAATGTAATTAATAATATTTTCAATATTAAATGTTCTTATTTAAAAAGTTATTAATTTTTCAGATAACCATGACCATGATAAAACATGTCTTGCTCCTTCTAATAGAGATTTTATTGCTTATATTGAAAGTTCTATATTATATTTGCAAAGATGTATACAAATTAATTATTCCAACAAAGAAAAAGTGCGTAGCTGGTGAAATCGTTTTGGTGCGTATCCAAATAAAATCTTAATATATACGAGGGCAAATCAATAAGTACTCGTGTTTGAAGACAGGTGACGTTGCAAGTTGGCATTATCATCGTGTACTACCATCTTTCAAATGACGCTATACAAAATTTCAGAGTGATTCATGCAATAGTCTTGATTTGACAGCAATTCGTAGTGAGAGTGTTTGATGTTTTCCGATACAATGGAAAAAGAACAATATCGATCCGTGATTCGATTTTTATTTTTGGATGGAAAAACGTGCGAAGAAATAAAAACGAAGTTGGATGCCGTCTATGGGAACCCTTCATCATGACAACCGTCAGATATTGGTTCAACGAATTCAAACGTGGTCGTTCGTCTGTTTTTGATGAGGAGCGCCCAGGCCGCCCGGCAGACGTGGTTACTGAGGAAATCGTTGAAAAAGTCCACGACATGATTCTCGCTGATCGCCGAACGAAAGTGCGTGAAGTAGCAGAGGCCATAGGCGTGTCGTATGGAACGGCATTCAATATTTTGCATGATAATTTAGGAATGAAAAAGCTGTCGGCCCGATGGGTGCCGCGATTGCTCACGGTGGACAACAAGCGAATACGGCTATCAATTTCAAAGCAATGTTTGGAACTGTTCAAGCGCAATCCGAAGAAGTTTTTGCATCGAATAATAACCGTTGATGAAACATGGATTCATTACTACACACCGGAGACCAAGGTACAGTCAAAACAGTGGATTTCACCCGAAGAAGGCCAAGACGGTGCCATCGGCCGGAAAAGTGATGGCCACTGTTTTTTTGGAATGCGCAAGGCGTAATCTTTATCGACTACATGGGGAAAAGCAAAACTATCACGGGGCAGTACTGTGTTGACTTATTGGGTCGATTCGATGTTGAATTGAAGAAAAAACGCCCCCCATTTGGCGAAGAAAAAAGTGTTATTCCATCAGAACAATGCATCGGCTCACTCCTCCGCAGTCGCCACAGCCAAATTGGTCGAATTGCGATACGAATTGCTGCCGCATCCACCGTACTCTCCGGATTTGGCCCCCTGCGACTTCTTCTTGTTTCCAAACTTGAAAAAATGGCTCGATGGAAAAAGATTCACGTCGAATGAGGAGGTCATTGCCGAAACAGAGGCCTATTTTACAGAGTTCGATAAATCGTATTTTTCGGAGGGGTAAAAACATGGCAGAAACGTTGGGAAAAGTGTATTCTCCTAAAAGGGGATTACGTTGAAAAATAAAAAAAAGTTTTGTGAAAATCTTGGGTCTTCATTACAAACACAGATACTTATTGATTTGCCCTCGTACAGTTATATAAAAAAAATAAGATAATCGGATCCTATATAATCTACCTAAGTTCTGTAATTTTTTCTAATTTTATTCAAATAAGAAATTTACATTATTTGCATAAGTGTAGTGAAAATTTTAAGAAAAAGTACGTAGCACTTAGGTCATATTGAGTACACGGTCAATTTGTGCGATTTATTAATGCTATTTGTTAAATTTATCGTGTAATTATACGTATAATAATTCTTTTTATTACAATAAATGTTACCTCAATTAATGTTACATAAGCACAGATAGAAAGATTCATATTGATCTAGACTTTAAACCGAAATTACATTTGATGAGTCATTTGTTTTCACATTTTATTGGGGGGAACCGGTTTGCCTACAAATCGATTGCTTACAGTATCGTTTGTCTATATCACTTTTGCCGACAGTTCGTTTGGGCACAAAAATTATTGCCTACACTGAAAAAAAAGATTGACTGCTGCAGCAAATTAGATAGTAAAATATGGCTTAGCATTTTTAATTGGCTGCAGCAGCCAATTTTTGATTGCGTTAGCCTATCCGCAATGTCAATATAGGATTTCGATAGGCTAACACAACCAAAAATTGGCTGCTGCAACCAATTAAAAATGCTATGCCATATTTAACCATCTAATTTGCTGCAGTAGCCAATCTTTTTTTTCAGTGTACAGCTCGATTGCCCACAAGCACTTTTGCGCACAAATAAAATTTTCAAAGACGAAATCACATTTGCCTACATATATTATTGCCTATAGATCTATTGCTTACATGTTTAATTATTGCCTACAGCTCGATTGCCTACATACATTATTGCCTACAGCTCGATTGCCTACATGTACTATATTTTCTACTTTAAAAACACAGATTCTGTTTTAAAACATAAATTTTCTGCTTTAAAAACACAAATTCTCTGTTTTAAAACAAATTCTCTGCTTTAAAATATAAATTCTCTGCTTTAAAAATACAAATTATTTTCTTACTTAACTTAATCTTACAATTAGTTTTATATTTGTGCGCAAAAGTGCTTATAGGCAATCGATCTGTAGGCAATAATACATGTAGGCAAATGTGTGATTCCGTTTTTGAAATTTTTATTTGTGTGCAAAAATGCATATAGGCAATCGAGCTGTGGACAATAATACTTGTAGGCAATAATATACACGATGGGCAATTTTACGGGACCCACCCAAATTTCTCGGTAAGGCAGATACAGAAAAATAGTTCAGACAAAACTTGTTCAGGACAATGGGGGTCATTTATCTGTGCTAATGATTTTGACCTTCAGGTCGATTTTCAAGGTTATTTGAAGGTCAAGGTCATTTTTTAAAATGGAATTATACGAATTTTTTTACATAATATGATTCCTCTAATTATTCTGCAATACTTTTATGAACAGAACAATGATATGAATCAATTAGTGGAAAAAAAACATATAGTTGCTTATTTAAAAAATGATCCATTTTGCATACATATTTTTTTTAAAGCAACTGTGTGTTTTTCTTCCATCACTTGATTCATCTCATAATTCTGTTCATAAAAATATTAAGGTACGATTATCAAAAAACCAATAATTTACGAGATGTTTTATATTTCATTGTGGCATATATTGACATAAAATATGAAATAACTCGCAATCTATTAATTTTTTGATAATCGTACTTTAATATTTTTATGAACAGAATAATGAGATGAATCAATTGTTGGAAAAAAAACACATAGTTGCTTATTTAAAAAATTATCCATTTTGCATACATATTTTTTTAAAGCAACTATGTGTTTTCTTTCCACTAGATTCATAGGCAATAATATACATGTAGGCAATAATATATGTAGGCAAATGTAACTTCGTTTCTATTTTTATTTGTGTGCAAAAGTGCATGTAGGCAATTGAGCTGTAGGCAATAATTTTTGTGCGCAAATGAACTGTCGGCAAAAGTGATGTAGGCAAACGATACTGTAGACAATCGATTTGTAGGCAAAAGGAGCCATTTCCATTTTATTGAGTAAAAGTTTGTTATTTCCTTTTAAAGTACAACATAAAAATTTAATGTTATGCTATTTTAAACAAAAAGTTGTAAAGTGTAATTTATAAAATTATATTTTATATTATTTATATATATATATGTAGATTGAATATTTCAGATAACAGGTACAGGTCATGGTATTGGAAAAGAATTAGCTATTGGTTATGCTTCATTAGGAGCAACGGTAGTATGTTGGGACATCAATGAAGAAACTAACAATAAAACAATGGAGGATATTAAAAAAACAGGAAGAGATTCTGTGTATGCATATCGGTAAGTTTATATAACAATACTCGATGGAATAATAAAACTATTCGAATTGAATTCATATGTGAATATCTGTTCTATTCATGAATATATATAACTGCCCATTAAATTATCAATTCTAATTAAAATTCTAAATAAAATTTTACATTTTACAGATGTAATGTAACAGATAGGGAAGAAGTTTTAAGAATAGCCAAAAAAGTAAAAGAAGAAGTTGGTGACGTTACTATTTTGATTAACAATGCTGGTATAGTGTTTGTTAAATCATTTCTGAATCAAAGTCCTGATGAAATTGCACGAGTCATAGACGTCAATGTGACAGCGCATTATTGGGTAAGTAATATATTCGAGATATTGAAGTTATAAGTTATAAGAAATAATTACTATTAATATAATTGATTTTATTTTTGGATATATTGTATTAACTTGTTCATAAATAAAGTGTACTAATTGTAAGCGATTTAGGCCCGGTTGCACCAACGTTATTTTGACTTTAAGCGAGACTTAAAACTCTATCTGTCTCGTTTTAAAGCCGAAAGAGAGGGAGAGATAGAGAGGATTTTTAGCCTCGCTTAAAATCAACGTAACGTTGGTGCAATCAAGCCTTAAACAATTATACGTATAATTAAACTTTTACCAATCATTTGCAAAAAATATTATATTTTCAGACATTGAAAGCATTCTTACCTAATATGATCAAAAAGAATTACGGTCATATTGTAGCGATTTCATCAATAGCAGGATTCTTTACCGGTTCTTATGGAACGGTTTACTGCCCTTCAAAATTCGCAGTTAAAGGTAGTTCATATTTTACGATTATAGAGAAAAAAAGGGTAGAAGTATGTATATATATTATATATACAGGGTGTTTCCAAATTAAATCGCAAAACTTCGGGAGCGTGTAGAGGAGTAAAAAACTAAGAAAAAAAGTCCTATAGACATATGCTCGTTTTTGCTCCGTTTCAGAGAAATCGAAAAAAAATGTTTTTTTTACCTGCAAGATTAAATGGGGACCGTTTTCTAAATTTCTTGGAGAATGAATTTTCTGACTATTTAGAAAACATCCCATTACAACAACGTACTGAAATGTGGTTTCAATTAGATGGATGCCCTGCTCATTACAGCAGAGTCGCTAGAACCTGGTTAGATAGAAAATTCCCACAACGATGGATTGGACGTGGAGGAGCAGTACATTGGGCAACTCGTTCGCCCGACTTAACGCCATTAGATTTCTATGCATGGGGTACTCTGAAGCAAGAAGTTTATTCTTCGCCTATTCAATCAGAGCAACATTTGAGAAATCGTATCGTAGCTGCAGCGAACAGAATATCGCAAGAACAGTGCCTGGCTGCTACAAGAGCCGTGTTTGACAGATGCAATGCTTGTATTGCTGCAAGAGGTGCACATTTCGAACAAAATCTTCATTAAAAAGTTTATAAATAAAATAATTAAAATAATAAATTAAATATATTTTTTTCTTTTTTCGTGATTTCCTGCGAAACAAAGCAAAAAGGAGCATATGTCTATAGGACTTTTTTTCTTAGTTTTTTACTCCTCTACACGCTCCCGAAGTTTTGCCATTTAATTTGGAAACACCCTGTATATACACACACACACACACACACACACACAGGGTGTTTTATTTTCATTGACAATTATTATAAAGTTTGAAAGTGTGTTACAGTGCCGTCGGCACTATCCAACCGATTCTTATAATTCAAGAAGTACACTTTATGAAAAAATATTTTATAATGTTTTGAAAAGCTTTTGAGATAAGAGCTACAAGAATGTCTAACAAAAAAATGGGGATTCATTTAAAAAGTTCACCTTGTCCTGATCTTGACAACGCCACCCAAGTTCAAACTAAATACAATATAACAATAATATCATTTTATGTTTTCCTTGATGTCAATATAACTTTATTTGAAACTTTTTCAATCCCACATCTCATTCTTGAGATATATTAGTGTGTCAATTCAGTTAATTAAAATAAAACAATCCATATATACATATACATATACATGTCTGTCTGTCTGTATGTATGTATGTATACGATTGTTTAATGTGATTGTCAAAGAAATCGTTCAGTGTAGATATATTAAAAAAATAATTATAATTACATATACATATTTTAATAAATACTAATGTATATAAGCATACGTATACTTGTATATTACACATAATTTGAATGTGCGTGCGAAAATATAATAATAAAGTATGCTTTTCTAATACATTAATATATCCACAGCAATTATGGAAACTTTATCGAAAGAATTACATGTATTGAGTAACGGAAAGTCATCGATTAAATTTACAACTATTTATCCGAGCTTCGTACGTACCGGATTTAGTAAAACACCAAAAATTAGGTAATTTGACAACAATATACTATTATAACAAATTTTTTGCAATATCACATGAGCAATCCATTGCTTTTATATATATGTGACAAAAACAAATTTTTATTTTAATGGTAGGGTAGAGCGGGGCTAGTTGTGAC